TTTACAGAAAGGAGTAAACAGCATCTTTCTGTGCTGAGGTGCAGTGAAAAACTCGTTATCTGAAGAGGAGGAAATATTGCTTGGCTCAACCTGCAGAGAAAAAAATCACTCCCTTCTGCTCTGGTGCTACTTATTTCGGGGTTTTTTTGTTTTGCTTTGGGGTTTTTGGGTTTGTTTGGTTTGGTTTGGTTTTTTGTGGGGTTTTTTGGGTTTTTTTTTTTGTTTGTTTGGTTTTTTTTGTTTTGTTTTGTTTTGTTTTGTTTTTGTTGTTAGAAAAAGAGTTTGTTTACAATTTAATTCTATGGGAGACAATAAGTAATCATGGCTGTTAACTCTGTGTGAGGTCACTAATGTAGTGGTGAGAAACAGAATGTGAGGTCTTTGCTTCCAGACAGAGTTTTGCTAGCAGAGAAAAATGTGAAGGTGAGGGACTTTAAACTTTTTTTTGGGGAGGGGGGGCGGGTGGCAGGGGCAGTGCAGTTTGTTTCAGTTTGCATTTTTAAGTCATACCAGCAGCAGCATGGGCCTAGCTTCAGTACTGAACACATGGTGAGAAAGATGTAAATAGTCAAAGGAAAGTTTAGTCATAATTTGGATGAAAGCCAGTGAAAGTTAATATTTGTGTTATTGGCGGTTTTCAAAGACCTGCCATTCCCAAAGCACGAGGTAATTTTTGAGAAATACAATTTTTTCAAGTCTTAGCACCAGAAGCATCACAAACTGTTAAGCAGTCATACAAAATTTGTATTACAGTCAAATAGATATGAATAAAAGTAGTCCAATGTCACAACATAAAAATAACTGAATATAGTCATAAGTGCAAAGAGGTAAAAAAAATAAAAAAACTGTCTCCAATCCTGGTAATCCCTGCCAGTGGATTATATGAATCTGATCATTTTAGCTGCTTCATCCTTCCATCTCACAAACTCTTACTGACTTCTCTATAACACAGCTTTAAATTCAGCATTTATCACTGTTATTATTATTAAAAATTACTGTTATTATTTACAGCATCTCTTCTAAAACAATGAAATAGAGCAGTAAAAGACTTTATACAAATTTTCTCAGAATTAACCAGATAAGGAATCTAGAAGAGGCAGTTACCATGTTGTGCTAGTATTTCAACAGAAAGGACTTTGTACTCTGCCTGGAATTAATGTAAAACCTGTATAGCTGTTCCAGTTTACTGGCTGTTGCTGGCAGGGATCCCAGTGTGTCCATGCTGGAGAGACAGGGAAGGGAGAGCAAGAACAGGAGCGAGTTCCTGCCGGCTTTCACCCACACATCTTTTAGAGAATCAGGACTGCTCAGCACATCCAGGAGCAAGAGGGATTTCAAAACAAAACTGACTAAGAAGAGGGTTTGTTTTCCATATTGTTAAAAGGGGTTGGCCTTTTTTATTAGTCCTGATAATCATTTTATTGTGGTTTACTGGCTTACAGAGGGAATTACTATCTAATGTATTCTTGGATTTCTGTAAGAGGTTGCTGATTGTTAGAGGTTGCTGTTAGGTTTATAAATTATGTTCGGTTTTCTCATTTAACAGCTAAGGAAACTGGACAAGCCCCGGGGCACAGCAGTGGGCTCACCACATCCTAGTGCTGTCAGTGAGAACTCTGCTTTCAGAAGGAATTAAACCCTAACAGAGAAATGTGAATATGCATGTTTAAATTGTGGTGGTTGTTTTAGTAAGTGTGGTCATTCTTGTAGTCCTTCAATAAGACAGGTGCCCCTAAAACGGCTTGCAGTAAATCAGATAGTGCCACATCCAATGGTATTTAGATCTTTTTAATACCACCAGCATTATGCCTCAGTTCAAGTTCACAGTTTTTCTGAGGGACTGTACATAAAGCTCTGTGTAAATACTGATGAGCCTGCTGTGATCAGCTGGCTGTGATGCAAGAACCTCTGGGGAGAAAGTGGAAGACAGCAGAGCTGTTTCATGAGCTTGGAAAGCTGATCAACACCCTGGGAAGTCAAGGGGTTTCTTAGATGTTCAAATCTGTCTGGTTCTTTTGCTCCACTACAGCTCCCAAGGGCTGATCCTTCAGTTGTAGACTGAAGATTTTCATTGTAATAGTTTTGGCTTAATCATGAACTACAAGCCTTTAAATGTAAAGCAGCCTTACAGTGGCTGGGAGGGCAGAGCTCTGCTAGTTGTTAAAGCACCATGAAGAAATTGCCATTAGGGGCCATGACCAGAGCCATCAGTCATTCCTTGTTGTCACAGATTAATGGCTTCGGGCACTTTACCTCATCATTGCCCCGGCTCTGTCCTGTGGGACCAGAGCTCACTGTGGCCTCGGGGCAATTCCATCCAGGCTGTGGCTGTGAAACACCACTACACTGCCATCTCAAAAAGACTGGAGATCCTGGTAGCAGGCCCTTTGCTTCATTTTAATACAGCTTGCTTTTTTTGATAGAGGGGTCCTGGCACCTGCATTCACAGTAAGGTCTTGCTTCAAACAGCCACCGCATTGAGCAGAGAGACTTTGCTGCCTTCCCATTAATCTCTGCCCCACCCCCTGGGCAGGGTGGATGAGCTTTCCGTACTGCCCTTTGGGATCTTACCAACAGCAAAGGGAAACATCAGCACTGTAGAAGATTCCATAAGTAACAGTGATCAAGTTTGTTGGGGTCTTTTGTTGCTTTGGTTTTTATACTTAGAGGTTTTGTTGTTTGTTTGAGGCGCTTATTTTTGTTTCTCTGGGGGATTTGTTTCTTTGTTTTGGTGGTGGTGGGTTTGGTTTTTTTTTTAAGGTTTTTAATTTCCCTTATTGTCTCAGCCACAGCCAAACAAGAATCTAGACGTTGCGTGGAAAAATCATCAACGGACTCTAATATCTGACTTTTAATACTGTTTTCCTGATCAGAATAACAGTAGCTGCTTTTTTTGTCTTATGGCTCATCCTCTGAAATGCATAAGGCAGGATTATACTCTGCTCTGGGCAGTTAAGAATTCTTCAGACTAAGGAAGCAGGTGAGCTCTTGTGCACTAAAAAGGCAGAAAAAAATCTCTCAGGAAATGATAAATTTTCATTTTTGAAGAAAAAAATCCAAGTTTTTCATGAGTCAAGATAGAACTTTTCAGTTCTATGTGTTTAGAAGTGACTCTTTGTTTACAAACGTGTCTTGAGTTGTTATAGAAAGTAAATGTTCTCATTACTTTCAATCTGTTCCTTGGTACAGCCAGCAACATCTTTGTTCTTGTGATGTTTTGAAATATAAAGTATGGAAAAGTAGGGATATTACACGAATGGGATATTTCCAAATTTTTTCTCTCTTCTCAGTGATGGAATAAATGGCATCTCTAATTCAGGTCAGTGTACTCCACAAAGCTGAGCACATGGCAGTCCCCACTGGAGGCATTTTTCCATTTACTTCTTCTGGATTGTTTGCACAATTCCAATCAACGTTATCTGTAGATCACTTAGGTCATTCACAAGGAAAAAGAGTACTTTTCCCAAGCCCTTCTTTTTTCCAAAGTGACTCTATTTCAGCAAGCAGAGAAAATCACATCCACTCATAAAATTTGCCTTGCCAGACAAAAATAATTATTTAACAAACAAAAAGATTTTTTTCTTAAAATCCAGGTTGACTTCATAATGTCAGCAGGTAGAAAAACTGGCTTGTTAAATTGACAAATGCCATTAATGTTTTTAGTCCTTTAAGGAAATAGTCATAAAGGTGGTTATGTTTCTAGTAACTCCTAGTTTCTAGAGGCTTTTAGTTACAATTCAGATAGAAACACCTTCTTGAATGTACTAGATGGCTTCTAAACCAAAGAACAATACAGCCCCTTTCCTAAGAGTAACAGTGACAATATTAGTTTCCCGGATGGGTATTATTTGACGTCTTTTTTTTTTTTGTAGTTTATAAGCTCTCACTAAAAGCTAGATTCTTTTCCCTAAAGTTGATCTGAAGTAAAAAGCGAGATAATAGTATTACCTCATTTGTAAAATGGTGAAAACACTCTTTTCAGTGAACACCAAAGCTCTGCATGTATTGAGCAATAGGCAACTCTAGCACATTTTCAAAGCCATTAACATTTTGCCTTCTTTCCAATTTGTCACAGGTCCCCCTGGAGTTAGCAGCAGCTGGAAACAGACCAGACCTTGCAAAACTGCGAAATCATCAGAACTTCCGGGTCCGAATTTCTTTCTTTTCCTTTTTCATCAGAATTTACATGACTGACTATGTACCTGTTTCATAAAAAGGAAAACTATGATGTTTACCTGGGAAATCAATGGTAAGAAAAGGCATTCACTGAGGCTCTTTCCTGGATTTTAGGTGTTGTGCTTAAGAAAATGTAAGCAGATAATCTCACATTTTCCCCACTATCACGACCCTAACTCAGTGAGGATCTAATGGTTTAATATTAGCTAATACAAGTTTGGCTCTATTGGTATTTCAAAACCTATTAGCCTACTTTTATAGGACATGGAGGTTTTGGAGTATATATAGTGTATGGTGTAGTACACTTACTATACATTTATCATATTGTTGTTTCTACTAATGAACTAATGTAGTATCTACTAATGAACAAGCTGTCAGAAGATGTGTTCTAGCATAGGTATTTTACTTCAGGTGAGTATTTGTAAGCTTCCAATCGCAAACACTTTGAGCAACTAAAATGTGCAGAGATATAGTTAGGGTCTCCTAGGAAGATAATCAAGTTTAAGCCTGTTGCTGCACTTGGATTTTGCAGATGGTCCCATGGCTTAAGGAGCACTTTCCAGACACTGTGTGTCACAGGGGGTGCAGTAAATGCCACAATCAAGCCATTGCCATAATGGCCAGCACGACTCCACACCAATCACCTTTGTTCTCCTGTCCGGCTCATTCCAGGAACCTTAACAGGAGCATCCTACAGCTCCAGACAGGGGGTGCGTCAGGATATTTGTAATTATCCAACCACTTATTCTACTGGGAACATCTGTGGAGATCGGCACAAATGTCAGTAAAGGAACGCACACACAAAAGTCCTATTTGAAAGAGTAAAAACCAGAAAAGACAACAACAACAATGACCCCAGAAAATGATACTAATATTTTAAAACTCAAGGACTCCTGTACGTATGCAGGAGCTCCATCTGCTGGCACGTTTTGGTTGCTGTTTGCACCTCTATTGAGACCCCATAAAAACTTTAAGAATAGTAGTTTAAAGTCTATTGTAAAACTTATAATTGTTTTTTTGTTATGTTGCCTCTTTACGTTTCCTTTTAGGAGCTACCTAAACATTTGGCTAATTTTATGCCTGTTTCCAAGAACCTATGTCTCAAATCCTTCAAAACCTAACTTTTTACTGATACTGGCTGATGATCTTGGTATTGGAGATCTGGGTTGTTATGGAAATGATACAATAAGGTATGAAATAAATTATCCCTTCCTGGTGAATTTAATTTAAAAAAACCCACAGATTATACTTAGCATAAAAATTCATTATTAATTTATTAGTTCATCTAGATACACTTTCTTTTCTTTTTCTATGTACAAAATGCATGTTCTACAGTATTTCCTACTGGAGTCATAATTATACAGGCATGCTTGAGAAACTTTCTGGGACTTAGAACTTTGCAAATGTGTCTGTGCACTGTACTTGTCAAGCATCAGTATAATACATAAATTTCCATAATTCCAGGATTGAAATATGAAGGAATGAAATTAGAATTTAATGTCAATTAACAACTCTAGTAGACATATTATGAAATGGCAGGTCAGTCTATGCAATGTATTTATCCCTAGTGCAGTTATCAATCTGTATATAGAAAGATTAAGAGAATGATGTGTCTTTTTTCTAGCCTATTATTGTCTTGGATGTTGTGTTGTGAGCAGACTCTTGGTCCCTATGCTGCATGGGATTTTGGCATGGGACATACCTGAGATACCTTGTCTTTTGCCCTCCCTTTTTTTCTAGTTACCAGTAAAAAACCAGTAAAAAATGGAAAACTCATTTCTAAGGAGTCAAGATATCTCAAAAATACATATAAAATACAGAACTTTTCTAGCTCAGTTGTAGGTAAACAGATTTTTGTAAATTTGATGATGATATGCTCAACAAAACTAGGAGGAGCAGTATGCCATGAATTTCTGTGTAATATGTTTTTACAAGAGATGGGATTTTTCTCTTTAGGACCCCTAACATTGATGGCCTGGCAAAGGATGGAGTGAGACTTACTCAGCACATTGCTGCAGCAGCTGTCTGTACTCCAAGCAGAGCTGCTTTCCTGACTGGCAGATACCCTATCAGATCAGGTTGGGCCTCTCTCCAATGGTTTGTTGCAGTTAGTCTAGTCAATGTTGATATTAAAAATCCCCTTAAATAAGCCATGTTAAAGAAGAGTTAATCTTGGGATTTGGAGTCTCAGTGAATTGGGCAAAAAATTAGAGATGACTAATGATTGATTTCTATGGGAAAATCCCCATATAAAACACAATATATGTAGCTAAATGACAACACAGAAATGGATGAAAATCAGAACAGTACAAAGCATCCAGAAGTAGAAAAATAAAAAAATAAAATTGTGTGATGTTGTATGTTCAGTTGCACTAGGATTATATTAAATGTAATATTTTTAATATCCTGAGAAACCTTTTCACAGTGAAATGTGTCAGACTGTAAATAGTTCTCAGCAATTGTGTCTTAAAACAGATTTACTTACAGCAGTGTAAATTCATGGCAGAAGACTTCAGCCACTGCACACAGCAGTAATAATCAGTGTAGCTTCTGATGCGGTTCTGCCTTGCTTAAGGAGAAATAGAATCATGAACTATACATTTCAGAAGTGAGTTCCCCTAAACCTGTAAGCTTTTTGTTCTAGATCAAGTTTATTTGCCTTTTTTTTTTTGTTAAAATCATATTTTGATAGAACTTTGGTTGTAAGAAGCTGACTAACATCTAAATGCAAGTGTCTTCCTGCCATTTGTAGACACCCCAGCACAGCAGAGGCACCTGCACTGCACTAGCATGTGATGACATGGAACTTGGAAAAGACATAATTTTGGAAGTCAAGTAGGATATCCTATGGTATAAAGGCACTAGGCATAGGCAACTGAGTCCCATTCATTAGAAAGCACAATCTGAGAAGACTGGAAATCTGAAATCTGGCTTGTTTTATTTTAAAGACTATTATTCCTCTCTAGGCATGGCATCCAGCACCCAACGACAGGTTCTCTTCTGGAATGGTGGTTCAGGGGGGCTCCCACCAAATGAAACTACTTTTGCCAAAATACTCTCCCAGCAAGGTTATTCTACAGCACTTGTAGGTATGAGACAAAGAAAATTGTTGCTTTTTCATTGTTTGCTATTCTAATTAGGTTACTTCTGTAAATACATTTTTTGTCAAAATGTCCAGGATCAGTTAAACTAGATTTTCTTGTGTGAATAACTTTCAAAATTAGCGGGGTTTTTAGAACACTATCTGCAAGTCCAATGTAAGTACAGTGTATCTGGTAAATTGAAAATGAGGTGTATGTAATACATAAATACACACTCCAAATGGAACTAAATTCAAAGGGAAGAATCTTTTTTACCCAGTACAGATTGCTTTAGGATGAACCAACAGAGACATTCACTGTTGTATTAGGGCAGAAAAATGTCATCTCTTAGTTGGCACTGAGACACCACAGAGGTCTTAATGATATAAATTTCAGCAGAGTGGTCTTAATGATATTGACTTCAGCAAGGTGTCTCTCACAACATTCTCATAGGCAAACTCTGGAAGTGTGAACTGGATGCATGGACAGGGAGGTGGGTTGAGAAGTGGCTGAACAGCTGATCCCAGAGGGTCGTAATCAGTGGCACAGGGTCTAGCTGTCACCAGTGGTGTCCCCAAGGGCCAGCACTGAGCCCAGTATTGTTTAACTTATTCATCAATAATGAAGAAAATTAGGGGACTGAAGCATCTCTCCTATGAGGAAAGACAGAGGGAGCTGGGCCTGTTCAGCCTTGAGAAGTGATGGCTGAGAGGGGCCCTCATCAATGTCTGTCATTATCTGAAGGGATGGTGCACTACTGCTCCCTGAGTCTGTCCCTATTCCACACCAAATCCTCCCTTGGCTGCACCTTAACTGAGAAATACAAGAAGACACACCCTAATATTGGATTTAAGATCTTTGTTTTTTATTTCCAGGGAAGTGGCATATGGGTGTGAACTGCAAAACCCGCCATGATCACTGCCACCATCCTTTAAATCATGGTTTTGATTATTTCTATGGTATGCCTTTTACCCTTGTGAATGAGTGTCAAGGCACAGAGGACCCTGAATTGGCCAAGTCTTTACAAGATACATATTGGTTTTACACTCAGATGTTCATCTTTGCAGTATTTACTCTTGTGATTGGAAAACTTGCCAATTTATTCCCAGTAAAATGGAAAATAATCATCTGTTTGGCCATCTGTGGTCTCCTCCATTTCATCTCCTGGTTCTCCAGCTATGGCTTCACCAAATACTGGAACTGTATCCTGATGAGAAACCATGATATCACTGAACAACCAATGAACCTACAAAAAACTACTTCTAATATGCTGAAGGAGGCAATTACATTTATTGAAAGGTAATCAGCAGAGGTGAGGAGCAGACTGGTGGGGAGCAAGTGATACAAAGGGGTTCTGGCCAAATCAGCATTCCTGCCTTCTGCCAGCAGGAACAGAAAAACTATCTTAGGCTGGTGAATGGATTGTCATAGAAATTGTCATATGAAGTTAATGTTTTACAAACAGGAGAGTGAGTTTTGTTTAGTTTATTTGGTTTTGTTTACTTTTTTTACCAGAGGTGTCCTTCGTTTATTATCAGAAACCTCAGTTGGAATTGAAAAAAACTGCTAAGTCTTTAAAAGTATTTGTGTGTTAAATCTGGGTATATCCATATTTCTGTCAGGATTTAGGGGTTGTGTGTTTGATTTTTAAAGGAAATTTGAGGTCATACAAATTCCTTCTCTAAAACCTGGAGCATAGATAATCTCAGGTTCCTAGGATATCCTATCTAACTTGATGTTGAATCAATATGGTTTCACTGTGGGTCACATCTGCCTCTTCCATGAGGACACCTCAGATGCTCAGTGATGCATATCCATGTTTCAGTTCAGTTTAAGTTCAGGCAAGTGAGTCCTGCTCTCCTTGCTTCCAGAAATGTGTCAGTCTTTTGGCTATGACCTCTTCTAGTTGCTTATTTAATGTTTGGCACATGTCTAATCTGGAACTGGAAAAAGAAACGACTCATGACTGTTTTGGTCTTAAGACAGAAAAAAAATCTTTGAGGGGTATGTTTTAAACCCCTCTGTCTCCCAAAACTTCAAAGCCAAAATAAAATTTGTTTAGATCACAATAATATAATATAAATTGAGAGAGTAACTGCAATACCACTGTTGTATTTTGGGTTGAGTGACAGCTTGAAGAGAAATGACTATTGTTTTCTTTTATTTTCAGAAACAAGCATAGACCATTTCTTCTCTTTGTTTCCCTTTTACATGTTCACACCCCTCTCGTCACCACAGAGAAGTTTCAGGGAAGAAGCAGGCATGGCCTGTATGGAGATAATGTAGAGGAGATGGACTGGATGGTGGGTAAGTGTGAGTCTTAAAGAAAATTCTTCATTCACTTGGGCGTGGAAAAGACATTAAAGGGGTGATCACCAAACTCCCTTTTGGCATATGTAGAAATCAGTGAACTCACCTTGGCTACACAGTTGGTTTCAGAAATTGTCATGCCATAACCACACAATACCTCTTTTTTATTTTCTTAAGATGAAAACTTAAACTTTCCTTGTAAGGATTTGTTCTTTATTATTTTTAATAATAATAATAATAATAATTTTAATAATTACGCTGAAGTGGTAAATGCACTCAAATAACCAAATGTGTCTCTGATCATGTTATTCATCAAATTGTATATTTCTCCAGCTCTGGTCTTAAAAGATGCAAAGAGATGCTGCTGAATATTACATTATATAATGGACTTATTCATTTTATTAAAAAAAAAAAAATCAGAACCTTCTCCTAGCCAAAAGTCCAAGTTAGAAAGTTATGGAGTTTCACTTGAAAAATTGTGTGAAGTCAATGAAGACTCACTTAGGTTATAATCTAGGCTCTTGAATACCAATCAGGTTAAATTTCTGATTGGTTTAACTTAGTTAAAAAAACCTAACCTTTACTTAGTTTTCCTTTTCAATGAGGGGAAGAGATAGCTACTGTTTGCATTTTGTCAAAAATGAAGACTCTATTAACAAAATAATTTCCCCCGTCAAGGCCACGATTCAATCCTTGAACCTCTTTTCCTCCAATAACTATGTCTACAAAATCGTAATCGTAATTTGAGAGGAACTGATTGCTTTCAATGAACAGGCTGAAAACTCCTGCAAGATCCAGTTGAACCAGAGGACTCAGCCATGCTCCTCTTTTGGCACCAGCCACCTTCAATCACAGGCCCTGTAAGCAGAGCTGGATAGCAGAAGATATAAAGAACATGTAGTTGAAACACAATAGCAGCTAGGACAAAACTCTCCAGAGTCATAGTGAAGACAATTCCTGATGCAGAATCTACAGAACAAAGCTGATAGAGTATTTTGAGTAGCTTGAATAAAAGTATCACTCATTTATTTTCCAGCTGGTTTTATTTTTTATTGTCCTGTTTTTATGGACACCAGAAACAAATACTATAAACATTCATCAGCTTTCTCTTGGGTGCTTACCATTTCATAGAACCATGGAATATGCGGAGTTGGAAGGGACCAAACAGGATCATCAAAGTCCATCTCCTACCCTTGTGCAGGATGCCCTGGGAATAACAGCATGTGCCTGAGAGTGTTGTCCAAACATTCCTTGAACTCTGTCAGGCTGGTGCTGTGACCATTTTGCTGTGGAGCTTGTTCCAGTGCCCAACCACGCTCTGGGTGGAAAACTTTTTCCTGATATCTTACCTAAACCTCCCTGGACACAGCTTCATGTCATTTCCTCAGGTCCTGTCACTAGTCCTCAAAGTGAAGAGATCAGTGTCTGCTCCCACGTTATCTCCTCATAAGGATGTTGAAAACTACAATGAGGTCTCCCCTCAGTCTGTTCTTCTCCAGGCTGAACAGATCAAGTGACCTCAGCCATTCCTTATAATGCTTCCCCTCAAGGCCCTTCATCATCCTCATGACTCTCCTTTGGATGCTCTCTAATGGCTTTATACCTTTCTTAGGTTGTGGTGCCCAGAACTGCCCCCAGCACTGGAGGTGAGGCTGCCCCAGCTCAGAGCAGAGCAGGACAATCCCCTCCCTTGCCTGGCTGTGATGCTGTGCCTGATGTCCCCAGGACAGGGTTGGCCCTCCTGGCTGCCAGGGCACTGCTGACTCATGGTCAACGTGATCAGAGCCCTCAGGTCCCTTTCTGCAACGTTGCTTTCCATCATCTCATTCCCCAGTGTGTTCACATAACAAGGATTGCCTTCTCTCAGGTGCAGAATCCAGCACTTTCCCTTGTTAAACTTCACATGGCCAGTGATTGCCTATCTCTCTATTTTGTCGAGGTCTCTTTGTATTGAATGTGAACAGGACTCATTCAGGCAAATGGAAAGACTCAGTCATACTGAATGTGGAGTCAAGACCTAAAAATACTGATGGTATCTGCTGATGTAATTATGGTGTTTTGCTTTATTTATAGGCAGGCTTCTGGATGTTATTGACAAAGAGGACTTGAAGAATACCACATTCATTTATTTTGCATCTGACCATGGAGGATTCTTAGAGGCTCAGAGGAGAAATTCTCAGTTGGGTGGATGGAATGGGATATATAAAGGTAAAATTTTAATACTTTGTGCATGCATAAGACTTCCTCTTTAAAGAAGAGTTATAGAAAAAATATATCCAAACAGATTATATTTAATAAACTATATGCTGGGATTATAATCTTGAATTGTAGGGCTGAAACAAAGGGCATCAGCTATTCATAGGGCTGGGGCTGAGCAGAGAGCAGGACCACTTCCCTCAATCTGCTGGCAATGCTCTTCCTAATGCACACTAGGACACCCTTGGCCTTCTTGTCCCCAAGGGCACTGCTGGTTCATGGAGAACTTGTTGTTCACCAGGACACCCAGATCCTTCTCTGCAGAGCTGCCTTCCAGTAGGTGAGCCCCAGCCTGCAATGGGGCATGGGGTTATTCTTCCCAAGACACAGGATCCTGCATTTGCCTTTGTTGAATTTCAAAAGGTTCCTCTCTACTGATTATCTATGTCAACACTGGCCAATAGTGTGATGTTTATTATTCTTACTATAGTTCTCCAGTTTCTCATCCATCCTATAGAAGTTTCTTCTAGACTCTCTGTGACTGGCTTGCAACACAGTGACAAAAGTTCCGTGGAAATGAAGATCTATGATATCTCTTTTATGTGCTTCCTCCAGATTACTAAACCTTGAAAAGCCACTGTGACATCTTAGACAGCTTAGCACTTACTATTTAATGAAGTCTGCATCCATCACACGTTTCCCTACAGAAGAAGAGTCATGTGCACATTGACATTGTTCATCATCACAATGCACATTGTCTAGTACTAAATTATTTGATGAGCCACACAAGCAATGTTTGACACAGCTGCGATCTACCCACACACAGTCCTAAATGTAAAATTAGCCTTTAGTTCTTGATATGAAGATTCCATGCCAGTAACAGATGCAAAAAGGCCCAGAGGCTCACTTGAATAGCTTAGAATCTGATCTAAGGAATTCAGTAGCTGAACGTAAGTATATTAGTAACAGGAGAGTCCAGAGAGGAAAGAAAAATGCGATTAGAAAGTTCAGGATGAGAGGACAATGATGAAATCATGCCTGCTTGGAGTGAAGGCAATAGGGAATACAATATTAATAATAGACATAACTATTTATGTCTACTTACAGCAAAACAGGGGATATCCCAGTGAGACAAACTAGCAAGACTTAAAAATACAGTTTAATTCATAAATATCTGTAAAACTCACTCTTGTTATTGGGAACTGCATATTAAAAACAAGCAGATAAATAAGCCACACATACAAATTATGAGAAGAGCCACTACTGAATGACAGTCTGTTTTCCAGGATTTAGTATGTTTTCATTAAAGGTTCATGAAATATTATAAAAGTTTTAAAACATTTTCATATGCATGTGCAATAAACATCTGGTATCTTCTATTCTTCTATCTTTTTGACACTTCTCCCCCTTCTATAACAGGTGGAAAAGGAATGGGAGGATGGGAAGGAGGAATCCGTGTTCCAGGTATAGTGAGATGGCCAGGAGTGCTGCCTGCAGGGACAGTTATTGATGAACCTACAAGCCTTATGGACATTTATCCTACAGTAGTTCAACTGGCTGGAGGGGCAGTGCCTCAGGACAGGTACAGAGGTGGCTTCATAAACCATATTGCTTCTCTTTCTTTAGACAGAAGCTGACTGTGTCATACATCTTAACAGCCACACGTTAAATTCTCTGTTTCTAAACTACGCAATTCTCTAGCTTTCTTTCTGCACAGCTTTGCCCATCTTGTCTGCTTATGTGAAAAAAGCAAAGAAAAAAAAAAGCATTTGTTTTATCAAGGGTCATTTAGCTAACTCATTTCTCCTATCGCTGAAAAACAACTTGGCTGATTTTAGACACTAGGATCACTGGAAAAAAAAACAGACTTCTCTAAAGGACATGAGAAAATGTGGGTGGCTAAGCCATTTCAGAAAAAAGCATAGAAGTACTGGTGCCTGGAGCTCACAGAGCTGTCAGCGATTTCCATTTCAGGTGGCAAAATTAAAACCTGTGAACCATGCCTTCACTGTTGTTATCACTTCCAGGAAAATTACAATAATGGTGTCTGATCTCCGCAGGCAGGATGTGTAAACTAGCTGTAAATACAAAAACTTCTAGTAATTGCTAATTATTGGTCTCTACACATCCACCCAATTAAAAATCTCAGGGCTCATTAGCTAAACAGTACCTTGGTTTAGTGATGACACTTGAAATCTTAATGCTGCACACATAGAGTGAGTAGTGCTCATGTTTCAGCTTCAGACTTGAAATTCTTAAGCTGTCTGCTGACTCTGGTCCTCTCCACCAGGGTCATGGACGGGCACACCTTGCTGCCCCTGCTGCAGGGGACAGAGCAGCACTCCAGGCACGAGTTCCTGTTCCACTACTGTGGAGTGTTTCTGCATGCAGTACGCTGGCACCACAAGGACAGTGAGTATAAACATACCCCTCCTGCAGGCCAGAAATTATGTAATGTCCTCTAGCTTCCCATAGAATATAATGTAAAAATGTTTATATACACGTACATACACATATATATGTATGGAATACGTTCATTGTCTCAAATTGCCTTCTGCAAGGCCTCATTGTTAGATGTCCTGCTTTGCCTGAAATGAAGGGATTTGCTTCCTAGGAAAGAGAGCTTCAAGAATCTCTCACTATTCTTAGAGATCTCTCTTTGTTTCTCTGTAATGGACACCGTTTTTGTGAACACACAAAGTTCTCTCTGAGCAGAGAAAGCTGTATCTGGATGCTGCAATTCCTGGGTGATATGCCTGCTGGAAGAGTCATGCCACACTTCCTTAGCGAGAGGCTAAATTCATACTCCAATCAAACAGGGCATTTGAAGAATTACTTTTCAGGTTCTCCTGATGTTCTCCTTACCTAAATTACATTGCTTGTTCTTCTAAGCTACCCAAGTTCTACTTAAGTAGCTATGCATACAACATGCAGATGTAAAGTGGAAATTGTGGCATTTCATGTTCCTATAAAGCCATGTGCACATCTAGATTTCTTATGCAAGCCTTTCTACAATTTTTCCCATTGAGTTATTTATGGCAAGGGGCCTGAAAACAATGCCAAGTTCTGTATATAAAAGACAAATCAAATATGTAGCTCAGCTTTCAGCCAGGCCAAAATTTTTGCTTCTTTGCTTTGACTGCAATTTCTTCTGATTGGGCTGGCCAACTGAGTCTGTTTTAATTAATTTACAAGTATGTCACCCTCACATTGCATATTTATTATCTGTTAGCATCTGTCTCTTGATCAGCCTAGATACCAAGCCATTGTGTCTTGATGTCACCCAGGCAGGACTATCTTTTAAGGCCTTCACTGAAGCCAGAAGAATCCTTTGTTTATGTTTTAGAGTCCTTTCCCTTACCTCTGCACCATAAGTCTTATTAGTGACAGTCCATTTCTTTCTGCTCATTAAACTGATTGATTGTTATGACATGGGTTTGAGACATGTTTGGACTGAAGCAGCAGGTTTCCTTTCCCTTGTATATATTAAATTAACACATTGCCCTAACATGCACATGCACCCTTCAGATTCTGTCAGAGCTACTTCAGTAGCAAATTATATATCCCTCTTTTCTTCTTGGAGATGAGTAAAACCCCCACTGCTTTTATCAGTGCTGATTTCTACTACCTTTTCTTTTTCTTTTATCCTTCTGTAACTCAGCTCACCAACACAGGTTAATTAAAATCAGCCTTGCTCTATCCTTCAAAGTGAACTAACAAGGACTTTTCCATCTCCCACCCTGCAACTCCAGGAATTATTTAGAGCTGTGAAAAGTGAATGTTAAAATTTAGCAGAATTAGAACAATTCTCCCCAGACACTCTACACTCACTACTCCAAATTGCCATAGGGTATATAAATTATAAAAAATTCAGCTCAATTATTTATGGAAAAGAATGACTACTTAGTTCAGTTTTTCTGAACACTGATCACAAGTTCCTAGGTACATCTAGGTAAGTCTATCTCTCCACCTCATGCAATAAATTGTTATTTTAGCAATATCACAACAGCACTCAACTAGAGCTAGATACTCAGAAAAAAATGCATGTCCCAGGGAGTGCTTGTTTAACTCCTTGTAACAGATATCTATGATGCCTGACCAACAGACATAAGAAGCAAATCCCATGCTCTGGGCACCTTGATATCACAGAGGATGCTTGCACTACTGTCATGAGACAAACATTCTTTTAGTCACAAGACAAGGATAAGCTTGAGGATGCAGAGCAGCCAGCAAAAAAAGAGCAAATACTCAAACAGACCTGAGGAGTATCTCTCTGTCCTAGTAAGCTCTCAGAAAATTGAGATTTCATCTTTATTGCCACATTCATGACATTCTGAGCTGGAAAAGGCCCCTAAGGATCATCAAGTCCAACTCTTAAGGAAATGACCCATCTGGGGATTGAACCACAACCTTGAAATATCACCACTGTACTCTAACACTTTTTCTTTCAGAAAATATTCTTTATCCTTTCTTTCATAAATTCAGAAATGGAGATATCTGACATTTATCTTCATTTTCTTACACCAAAACATTTTAGAACCATTGAGACAGCATCCCTCCATAAAAGTGCAGAAGCAGGATGTGAAAACTGTGAGATAGAAATAAAGACACAGAGCCAGCCAGCTAGCCAGCAACTGGATATTTTAATCCAAGATATTATCTAAACCTTAATATCTATTATTTGTTCCCCTTCACCTTTGAAGAAGTTTTAAAATTTTATTTATTCACAAAATATTGTTCTAGCATCGTGACAAGAGAAAGACTGAAGAATAAACCTGCAGCTCCAGACATAAAGAACAACTCTGAGCAAAAGAAAAGAAAGGAAGAAAAGTTCAGCTGACTCCACTGAACCAAAAAGAAAATTCCATGTAGGGACAATGCAGTTGTCAGCTCTTTAATGCTTTGAGCACAGAAGTGATTCCAAGGGCTGAATGTCCCCTTCCTTCTTGTCTCCTTTTTCAGACATAGTGTCTAATTGCTGTCTTCTTGCTGAGCACATCCTCACCTCTGAGTTCAGTGTAGTGCTTTCTAAATGTGGGTAAGGAATAGGAGAAAAAGGAGAGGGAAGGGACAAGTAAAATATCCTGATGAACTGCATTCAGTTGTAGTCCTAGTAACTTATCACTTTTTCACCACAAGTTATAAATCTGTGCTTATCCCATGGTCAGTACAAGGGCTTGATGAAGTACAAGATCTGAAGCTGTGAACTATTTGCCTTCTTCATGTTAACTTAAAACTAGACTCCAGATTTTACTGTTTTAAAGGCTTGCAATTACCAACCTTTTTGGAAGTATATTTGAAACATGAGCAGAGAAATAAGCTGTGGTCAGTTTCTGCCTATATATACTTCTTCACTCATACATAGCCAGAGGAAGAATCACCTATCGATATATACACCCAGAAACTAGGGACTACATTCTCCATTTCCTTCCCTCCAAGAGGCATGAAAAATTTTAAAGGGGAACAAGAAAGTGGCAGACTCCGTTTGTATTGAAAATACTGGACTAAGCATCCATATACTGCACATGGTACCCAGAGCTGAGGTGTACCCATGAGCCACAAAAAACATTTGAATCCCTGCCAGTGTCCAAAACACCTGTTCCCTGTATGCAACATAAGCTTCCCCTTGGAAGCTTAAACATGAACCAACCTTTCAGGGACCACCCCCCAGCTCCTAATGACATTAAGCTGTCCAAATGTGCTTTTTCTGTGACAGGTGGCACCGTATGGAAAGCTCATTATGCTACTCCAGTATTTCAGCCAGAAGCCTCTGGGGCCTGTTTCAGAAGAGGAATCTGTCCGTGTTTCGGGGATGGTGTAGCCCATCATGACCCTCAACTGCTGTTCAATCTCTCACAAGATCCATCTGAGGCAAATCCTCTATCAGCTGACACTGAGCCCTTTTTTGACACTGTAATGAGGAGAATAAGAAGAGCTGTGGAAGAGCATAGCAAGACTCTGACTCCAGTCCCACAGCAGCTGTCTCCTTACAATAATATATGGAAGCCATGGCTGCAGCCATGCTGTGGGACATTCCCATTCTGTTGGTGTCATGAAGAAAATAACAAAATAGTCTAATACCAAAGTCAAAGTACAATTAGCTTTAAAGAAATTGATGGTTTTTTGCATTCACATGAGTACAATCATAAACAGATTAGAGATAAAGATTAAATTATACTGGAATAACTAAAAGGGACATTAGTGATTGTTTTTGTTCAACCTTTTCTCTTACCCACAGAACTTAAGTAAGCCTGTGGTTTTAAAAAAATTAGGGGTCATCTGTATCATCTATCCCTCAAGTGAATAATTCAAATTAAATACCAAATAAATTAATCAATTTTTTTTTACTGACTTATAATTCAAGCAAATGATGACTGATAAAAAAGCAACATTTTAATAGTAGAAGTTTGTATAGGAAATATGCTTGTTGAGAGAACAGGACTGAGCTCAATAAAGTATCCCTATTTAGGCCTTATGTTTTTAATGAAAATTAATCTGTTCCAAAAAATGGAAAGGATGATGACAATAAAAAAAAATGGAAAATAAAATTGCACATTTAATTTGGAAATATACCAAAATGCATTGGTCTCTCAGAAATAAACACCTACTAATTTACAGCAATTTTTTGTTTTGTCATCAGTACATTCGTCATGTAAGGATTCCCAAGGAAAACTGAACTGATAAGTATGTTTTAAAAATGAGATAGCTAAAATTAGCATCTCAAGATCAGCAGCAAAGTGCCTAGCTATTCTGAAATGTTAAACCACAATAATTCACTGACGTGTTTTCCACATAGTTAGGTCGTCTCACTTGTGATCAGAGCATTGAAAATCATCACCTGCTGCCTTGAGAGGACTGCAAAATTTGGGACCCGTCTGTGAGACCAATTCATAAGCCTCCATATGCCACTTGAGTGACAATGCCTCTGATTTCATATGAGTGCCATTATGCCCCATGAAAAATATTCTTTGTTTTGTGAAAAAACAATCTGTGTTCAGTGTGAATTATTTTAACACTGCCTAATCTAATCTCTTCTTTGTACAGGTCATCTTCCCCAAGCTAAACATGTGTCAGCACTCTGTACAGTCATTAGGGAAAAGGAGGGAATTAAATTACCTAATCCTCTCTTGCTGCCTTTAGGTTAAATAAATTCATCTCTCAAGATATAATCCTAAACATGCACTTGCAAGGATTTTGTGCCAAATCAGATTTTCAAATGGAGGGTCCTGTATTTTTTCCTCCCCTAAAGAAGTAGATTGTGAGCAAGAGACTCAGATTCAAACTCCTAAGTCTTCCTGAACATTGTATATTTAACTCCTACTATACAGGTAACAGTCACCCAGGCTTTAAAAAGTCTCAAGGGATGGTAAGAGCTGCAGGGCAGGTACCTCAGGTGACATGTTTCCTTAAAGCTTGCTGTCTCGAGGAACCACACCAGTGCAGCTCTATCCAGGACCAAGGTTGCCTGTGTGTCATTTTTTTGCCTTTTAGAAGAGACAAGAAGGTCCACTGCAGGTCCCTCTCTCAGCTCCTGAGCTACCACAGCAGGTCTCTTTCACCAGCTTTGGGACAGAAGAGAACACAGAAGAGAAGAGAAGTGCCTGGACTATGCACCCTTTGCAGTGTTCCAGGGAACCTGGCACCAGGGCTAGGTCAGGGGTGTAATGAGTCACTGCTATTTAAACAGCACAGCTTGTGACCATGATGCAGCACCAAAATGTGAGTCTCCAAAAAGCTGACCAGGTATTGCTCCAAGTTATTTGCCATTTCACCTTGTCTCTAAAAAGTCACCAAGAAAGTTATGTGGAAAACATTCTATATAAATCAAAGGACATACATGGCAATGAACTGATAGGATGCCTCGATGTCACACTTGACAGAAGTATCTAAAAATATGTTTGTTTTCACTTCTTGATAGTGTTTAAATCTGCACTAACATTGCTGCAAACTCATCAGATTTGTCACTTTTCTGTGGCTGACAGGGACTGAAATCAGAGCAGCTGCATTTCACTGGATGCATGCAGGAAGAAAAGAGCACAAAAGACCACACATTTTTATGCCAGTATGGCTGATTCAGAGATACAGGACAAATCCTACAGCTCAGTGGGGAACAAAGCCAAAAGCTGTCATGCCAGTCAGTTCAGTAGCATCTACATAATCAATTAAGTACAAGGATAATTTTTTTCTCAGTTCACTTCACTGGCTTCACCACTCACCCACTCCAATCATTAGGTTAGATATCAGGAAAAGGTTTTTCACACAGAAGGTGGTTGAGAACTGGAACAGGCTCCCCATGGAAGTGGTCAGAGCCCAAAGCCTGTCTGAGTTCAAAAAGCATTGGGACAATGCTCTCAGCCACATGGTGTCACTCTTGGGATGTCCTGCGCAGGGCCAGGAGGTGGAATCAGTGATCCTGCTGGGTCCATTCTAACTTAGCATGCTCTGTGATTTACACACAGGAACATGCTTCGTCCAACACTAAGCCATGATGAGAGCATTTGCCAGAGGATGGGATGGTGTTCAGCACTCACTCAGCATGCAAGCATAGATCCAAACTTTAGGAAGCCAGACTAGGAAATCCAGTTCATCAGCAAGACCCAGGACTCCAACTCTAAACACAGTATAAATGTAAACATTAAACATTTGTCTAACATCTCTTTGGTCTGAAAATTAAATTTGCTGAACTGCTGTATAGAGTCAGATGCTAAGGAGTCATGTAGATATCCACGGTGCCTTTCTGACATTTAAACAGATAATTTTATCTTGGCTGGCATCTGTGGAAAACCAGAGGTGCTTTCAGGGAGGAGGAAAAATTAGGGCTGGCAGCATAGAGAACCAGCTTTTGTTAACTGATAAGAGACCTCAGCCAGGCACAGGGAAATGTGCTCTTCCCTCACAGAGAGGGAGAGTGCAGACACTGCACACAGAGGATCTGCAGGCAAGGAGGAGAGTAAAGTAATGGGAAATTGCTGAATAGGATACACATCACTTCAGAAAACAAGTGGGACAGGAGAGAAAATTATTTTCACTCCTAAGTTCCTTTCACTGTCTAAAGCTTAATATATCTTAAAATGTACAAATTTGGAGGAGACAGTGGTAAGCAGGAAAAGGAGGCTTGTTTTACCTGTTTCATGCAGATCCTAGCCATGGATAGGTTGCAAATCTCTTTAACTTTATACATTTGAACAAGAACATGTAATCTCTGCAGAAGCTGCTCTTCTGATCTTCTGCCCTTGGAGCAGATGAACCCAGCATCACACTCAAGTTGTCCTCATGAACTCTCACATAAAATGCATTAATAGGCAAAAAAAAAAAAAGGTCACAAGACCTTCTTGAATAACTGGAAGGAAGAAACTCTTAATTCAGTTCCATAAGTTTCCTTGAAAAATCATCTATAATGATATTTTTCAAAATATATTAATATAAGAATAAAACCTAAATTGTATGCTTTCTCCCTTGTTTTCTCATTGTTTCTCCCTTTGCAGAAAGGCACAAGGACTACATAAAATTGACAGCTGGGAAAACCTGAGAAAACTTCCCAATCTCCAAGCCATTGTTAGTCATACAAGAATGTGCCTACACATGGTTTAATATAGACACCATAGAGAGGGAAATATTGCTCTGTAACAAATGAAGTTTGTTTTACTGAAAGAGCTGTGGTTGTACTGTGTAAATGTTTGACATTCACGTTGTATGAAGCTGACTTCCACTTAGCTCGTTTGATCATTATTAAATGACATTTGGAATTGTTGCATTAGGCTGACTCAACAGAGTAATTGTCAAGTCTCACAGGAGTGAGACAATAAGCTTCTAAGAAGCCTCCCTTCACCATGTTTAAATATTAGACAGTTGCTTTGCTCCCTGCTGGGATTCAAGGGAGTGCCAGCACACACATCACAAGATCTCATCTTCTAAGGATGAAAAATAGTTGTGTAACAAATAAACTGAAAAAAGTAATTTGCGCTCAAAATTTATCCAGCTTGAAATTCCCAAGAACTCTGGGTATATGTGAGAGATGAACGACCAAGGAGTAACAAAAAATATTTTGCTCATGACAGGTTTTAGGTTAATATGTACACACTCAGACATATATATAGTGTTGAACTCAATATGACACTAGAAGGTTTTTGTAGGATGTTTTGATGGTAATGTTACATCTAATCAACTCCATTAAAAAAACCTCAGATTTATTCAAAACCTCATTTCTTATTGAATCGCCATACTACTGCATTACTAGGATTTTTTGAATGTCAGAAAAGAAAACTTACAAAATAAATTTCAACTCCCCATCCTGAGATAAATGGGGTTACTAGAGGATCCAAACAACCCTAGCTTCTGCTCTGCCATTTATCTAAAAGCTCTAAGTAAAAGGTTTGGTAACAGAATTTATGGAGGTTTGAAAAGAAAGAAAAACCACTAAACAAAACATAAAACAGGTATCCATCCATGACATGCTATTAGTTCTGTTCCAAGTACTTAATCCTATGAGAAGGCTCTGGAAATACTATTGCTTTAAAATAAACAAATTATCTGTTTCACGTATTTATAGTTGTTCAGAATGATGGACAGTGCTATGAAATTGAACAAATACTTCTCCAATGCAGTTAATGTTATGCCATCCTGGAAAGTATTAAAATAATCACAACTCAGAGACTTGGTTGTTTTGGAATTTTAGGGTTTTTATCCCTGCAGTTGGTTGAAGTTGAAAGGGTTCTGACAACAGTCAGAGTAAAATTCTGAAAAGGAAAAAAGTTCTTACAACTGTATTTTTTTCCCTTTATTAATATAACTCTCAGTTTTCCAGCAATTATTATTTATAAGTTTGTGTCAATTATATATTACTGTATTTTTTTAGCTATCTTTGCTATAGTTATAGTATGATTTTACTACAAATGAAAAGTTTATACCAGGATGCAAAATATCACTTGAGTGTCACAGCTTTTAATTTTTAGCACAAAAGAAACTATTTATGAGCCACCCAACTTAAGATGAACAGAATTTTAGTGAAACATTTTGTAACCAATATAACTGACAATGCAGACAACTTCAATGAGCAGTCTTAACTGACACCTATTTTTGAAGGCTATTTAAGAATTTACTACCATGCATTTAACCTCATATACTGGGTGGATAAAAACCAACCAAACAACCAAAAATCTCAAACCAACAAAAATTCAAACCACAGAAATAAAATCCCCAAATAATGAAAATAAAACTGGGGGAAACTGGAATGTAAGATTTTAATTAATGAGACATGAATTAAGAAAACAGGTCCATTTAATGTTATTTTCATAGTCATAGGAATCAAACCAGTTTAGATTAGGAAAGCAACAGAATCAGATCCATTAAAGAATAAATAGGCATACTACAGACTTACTGGTGAACAAGAAGCTCTTAGTAGGAGCACACAAAAGTATCAAGCACCAGCTACTAACCCAGCCTCTCATTCATGGATAGAAAAATCAAGGTGAAGAAAACAAAAAAAAACAAAGCATTTTTTCAAGTACCAGCTTTGGAAAAATCATTGTTGTGGGCTGACTGATATAGAAAGACAAAGAAAACTTATTTCCCAAGAACAACCCAGATGGAAACGTCCTCACAAAGCACTGGGCAGTAAGCAAAGTGATATTTCAAGAACACCAATCTCCTTTTCCTGTAGGTTTGGAAAGTGCATGAACCCACATGTCCAAAATTTTCAAGAATTTTTCTTGTGGCACACCCACACTATCTCCTTCTTATACATAAAGAGAACCCAATAAAATTGTTGTATGGCAAATACAAGCCGTGAATAACTCGAAGCACATGACAGAAGAATCAGCATGTTTTATTTTAAGCACAAGTTGTCCTCTCTAAATACAAAGTCTACCACACAACAGTAAGTTATAGTCTAGCCTTGTTTAAAGATGAATAGTGGCACCAAAAAACTTATATTTCTTAACTTTCATTATCTTAAAAACTTGAGGCTATACCACAGTTTAACGTGGGAAAAAAATTCTAGGTGAATCTTGGTAAAGTTTTTTCCCCAAGACACATTTTGACTTAGCAAACCTCAGCACTGTGGTTCATGGCCACATGCAGCCTGTAACAAGCCTCAGACCTGTCTGTGACCCAGGATTTCAGAACTGATGGTCATAAAACACCAGAATGCTGCCTGGAGCACAGCACTGGATTCCCATACAAAATTCCCCCTTTTCACACCCTGGTGGCAACAGTTGTGTGCTAGAAGCCACTACAACACTGCATTCCCAGTAACTAGTTCAATTTTTTGTGTGTGAAGACAGGACACAAAAATTAGGGCAAGGCTTTTTACAGCTATACTTTTCCATGAAATACAATAAACTAAGTACTGTTTTCTAATTCAAGAGATCCTGAACATTATAATTATGTATGTCTGGAGAAAAATTATTACTCTAAACTTTTAATTCTGCTCAGCAGTTAATGCTAATGTCTCAAAAGCAATTAAATAAAATTAAAAAATAAATTAAAATAACTAGTTATTCACAAGTAATATTCCCTGGCACAATGTAAACAACCTATAACTCTTTATCATCTCATAAGCACATGACTTCGTATGTCTTTTCCATTTCTTTTATTTCCATTACATTATTGTACTACAATTCTAGGCAAAACATTGTATAAGTCACACGGAGTACCATTGTACATATTAACAGTTTGAAATGTACTCAATGACACATTTGACTACATTCATATGCCTATTTTAAAAATCTTTCATTTACTGATTTCACATCTGTAATTTTTTTTTCCATAATCTAATCAATGTAGCAAATAAGATCTAGCAGTTAATGTAAAATGTACATAAGCATAAGTTCACATTGCTGGCTACAGCTTTATATAGTTTTCAAAAGCTGTTAGGACTATATTAGCAACAATTTTTATAAAACAGAGGACACTCTCTGCAGTGAATAAGGATCACTAAGAAATAGGGATAATCAGAAGATCAAATGCCACATGAGTAAGGGCCCACTGCAGCTGCTGTCATCTCCACACTGCTGCACTGGGCCACAGCACCAAGAGGTAGAGCACATCTACCTGTGTCAGTATGTGAAGGTCACCTACCCAGGAACACAGGCTATCCAGGGTGACAAGGTTAGTCAGAGAGAGAACTGTTCCCAATTTCTCTGCTGCCCCTAAACACCTAACTCGACCTAGATGCTTGTATTCAACAGACAGACCAATGGGATTCCCCATTTAAGAGTTTAAGGATAAATGAGAACTAGGTAAAATCAGAAATATCCTACAAAAATGAAAGCAAATCCACTAATGGGAATATTAGGAAGTAATTCTAACATATTCAAAGATATATATTTTTTTCATCTTTTAAGGGACCTTTGACTCTTTCATTCCTTTCCTGATTTGTGCACTTATTCCCTGCCCTACCCTCTAATCCTTTTTGATGAGAGGAAAAAGAAATAAAATTTTCTTCTTGCCTCCTATACTGCTATCCTTTTTTTCCTGCTAGTGTCTATGCATAATGGTACATCATTGCTTTTAGACAGAATTTCAAAGACATTTCATTAGCTTTCTCTCTGCAAAATTTGTGATGTATTTAGACCAAAATGTTTCAAGTCCTGCAACATCACTGCAGAATTCTTATTCCAATATTGAGAGAGGCTACAAATAACTGTCAAATTTATTATTATATTAGCATAACTCTCATGACTCTTTAAAAGTTTTTTTGCTTTGAAAGAAGGCGTTTTACTTGTTTGTTAAAATAAACTCACTGAGATGAGTCAAATACAAAATGAGCCAAATACACAAAACATTCCCCTAGAATTGTCCTTAATATAATGCAGTCTCATCAGTTGACTTTTTTTTTCTGGAATTATCCTCAGAGATTTATTGGTTCCCACACACAGCTATTGTTTAAAAGGTCTTCAAACGGCTTGTTTACTAAAACAAGTGCCAATTTTCTTTTCAGTTGCACTCAAATTGCCTGCAGTATGGGGCAACAATGCCAAGCCAAAGGAGGCCTTTATCAGCTGCTGCTTGAAGTACTGTAAACAAATTGATATAAAGCACCAGAAGGTTTACACCATGCTGTCAGTGTTTCTTCTTCTGACCACACAACTCAGAATATGCAACTAACACTATACAATATTTTAAAAAGCATCAGTATCCTATGGCAACAACATAAAAGGTTAAAATACATTATCACTCTGTCTTAAAGAGCTTTAAACCACGCTTCCTCACAATTGTTATGGAGCTGAACAGCTTCCTATAAGTAGGTAGAGCATCCACTAATGATCTCAGATGAAGTCTGAAGTTCCTCTAATCCTAAATGTGTTTAAATTAAAAGTTTTGTTGCAGGCTCCTATGAGGTCAGGATTTCATCACTTCTTTCTCATATTGAAGTCCATATCATGATCACCCTTGAAGGTGTTAATTTGGTTTCAACAATAAGTTCTTTTTAATTAAATAATTTATAGAAACTTCTGAAAATACTTTGGGAATAATCTGTTTTGGAAGTTGAACTTTTCCCAAACTATCTCAACTTCCAACATCTTTTCTAAACAACTGTTTCTGCAGAATGTAGATGGGGTGCACCAGAGAAGAGTGATAAATACATGGGAGTTCATACTCAGAAAGGTACCATTCATTATACTTTAGAAGGCACTATGTGAGAACAATGAAGATGAGACACATGTAAGAAGTTGAGGCACATTTATCAGTTAAAAACCAAGATGCTGTATCTGTTAAGGCCCCCTAAGAATGTATGAGGATCCATAATAACCTCTAACTGGTGTCAGCTAAACTGGTTAAAACAGCCAAATATACAAGAATTGCATTTATAAAGAAATTTATCATGATGGGCATAACAATACACCCTTAGTGTAAAAATGCATCCAATTTCTTTTTGATATGTTCAAAAGCATCTTTCCCCATATAGTCCATGCGCCCTTCCTCCCATTTTCTCCTTTCATCTTCTGGAGTTGGTTTTGCTGGTATGGAGTGAATAGACAGCTCTGAAACAGAATGTGCAACCTCCTTCTGTGGGAAGAAGAGTGGGAAAACAGTCATTTGGTTGTTCTTGTTTGGTTGTTTCAATATTGTGAAACTAAACCTTAAATGACAAACTTCTGCACTGTACACTCCCAGTTAAAACAATAAAATAATATTCAAACATTCAATCCTGTACTTATAATGTGACCTCATTTTCCCATGCTTTCCCATGCTTTCCATAGCATCTTTCCATAGCATTTATTTTACTGATCTTAACTCAGATCTTGGCATACTCAGTAACAACACAATGAAAATATTACAAATACTGCCTGGTCAGAGTACAGACTTCTGCTACAATGAAGAATTTATTATTTATCTGTTAAAATCTTGTGACTTCAAGGCTTTCATGTGAACATACATTTCTAGAATTTTTGGTAAGTTATTTTAACTCCAGTGAGATCAGTATTATTTAGCAAATGTGAGACACATTGTTTAATAAATTAATTCAAAAGATGGACGCTACTCGTTATACCAACAGCTAGTTCATTTTGAATGACACTCCAAAATTGTAAATGCTGGTTCAAAGTCAAGTCATCATAGGTGCACAATTCAAAACACATTATTAGTGACAATTTCTGCCACATAAAAAAACCAAAAACCTGTGTCCACAATCGACCAATGCCAGCAAAAAAAGGAATATCCCAACAATTATAACCTGTAATAAAGATGAAATATAACAAGGACTTAGCAAGGCAGCCACTGAAAACCTGTATTCAGTACTACTTAAAGCACTCCGAGGAAAACAACTCATCTCACGTTGTAAATAAAACTGAAATCAACTAGAACGACTTTTTAGTGAAGTCCTCACAAATTCAACGTAAAAATGTTTCAGAATAGAACTTAATGGAATCAATGTCTTAAACTGCCTAAATGCCCTGAAATATCCATTACATCTGCCAGTTTGGGGCAGATAAGGCATAGGACTTGTGCAAGACAAGGTAAGGTATTTCAAACAGCCAACATGCAGTAAGGTATTGGCGATTTTTATTAACAGCTTTGGAAGCCATTAACAAGATGACCATAATCATCATGCTTTTAGAAATTAAGAATTTTAGCTTGGGCCCAGACACCCCTGTCTGCATAGGAACTACAGGTTTTGTTTCTCTGTCCTAAAGTATTTCACCACAGTGCCTCATAATCATATAAAAGCCCTGATTAGGTTAGCTCTGTCAACCCCATCAGCACCAAGTCTGCCCCTGTTGTCACACTGCCCACGTGTGCAAGTGCCCATAAATGTAGTGCAGGATCACAAGGGAAAGCCCAGTCACTCAGGCTCCTGCACATTCCCTTTTGACTTGCTTGGAAACATCACTTCAGCAGGTCAAAAAACCCACAACAAAACAAAACATAACAGAACTAGCAAACACAAAATACCCAAACAGCTTTGCTTGTGTTAGTATTGGAGAACAAAAATTAACGCTGTGAATTGGTTACTAGGGGGTTAGCACAGGAAAATACACATTTAAGAACTCAAAGTTTTTAAAAGAAAACTAGAAAGGGATCACAACATAGTATTTGAAACAGTTAAGTAATTATATGGCTAAAATATTAAGGAATTTATTTGCACATTGCATTATAATTAGTTGAACTTTCCCAAAACTATGTTGGCAGGAAAGATGCACATGCAGTTATCAGTAGAGGTTCAATGCACAAAGCTACATGTACCATTTCTGGGGTTTCCTGAGATGCAGGTTGAAATGCAGGCTGCTCTGAAGGTCTGTCAGGCTCAGAGGGACGGATGTTAGAATCTCTTGGTTCGACTTCACATACAGGTTGCTAAAATAGAGCCACTGAGGTTTTATTAGGAGAATATTTTCTCATAATTTCCTTTTCATGAGAATTCACACAATACAATGCAATCACTTTCAGTCTTGGGGTAGGATAAAGCAATGGATGGGAGGAGAGCAAGGAAGAACATTATCACCAAGGAAAAATTTATGTCACCCAGCTTTAGCTATCAAAAATGGCATTAAATCAAGGATCTTACTATAATCAATCTAGGATAAGTACCTCCAGAGGGCAGCTCTTCTCATCCTAAAATACATTCAAAGTGGCTGTCATTTTTCAGTGACTACACATAAGCTTGAGAAGCAAGCTTACAGTAGATTCCTGTCCTTCATGAGGCCAAACATCAACAAGAAAAATCTCATTTCAGAATAATAGCTTGCTCTCACATAAGCTTTTTATATGCATGAAATAAAAACAGAACAAAGTATTCCAAAACAGGGGTAAAATAGATTGCCCAAAAAATATTGTCCCAAATATTTGCTTTAGACAGATGGCAAAACATAAATGAGTAGACAGACCCCATTCTAAAGTATTTTCCCCCCAAAACAATCCCACAAGACTATTGAAGCTGAGCAACAAATAGTGGAATGATAGTATTCTTAAGTAAGAAGGCAACCAGGTTATTACTTCCCAAATAATATGGTCTTCTGATAAGCCAATCCTAGTAATCAAAATACTAATAGAAATTAAAATTTTAATGAAACTACTTTAGGTGAACATTACGATTTTCACCTAACATTATGATTTCAGCCCAAACAAAAATCTCGATAATGTGTCCCTATTTAGTTTGAGCTTTTCCAGTGAAGTCAGATGCATAAGGCACACAAGAAAATACATGCTTTGCAAATAAATTATTCTTAAGTTATGGAACTGGAAGGTTTGCCATTTTCCTTCAGCCCCTTCACACTCAGAGTGGAAAGGGAAGAAGAGGGAGGAAGGGGAGGGGGAAAGGGAAAGGGAAAGTAAAATTATAATTTTATTTTATAGAATAACTATAGTCTAAAGAAACAAAGGAAAGAACATCCTAAAAGTTGTCTTCATTGTTCTAGAGTGTAGCTCACAAATTACAATGCAGATGACATTAGAACACTAATTTTATTTTCTCTCAGTTGTATCACACCATGGGGTGATATGGTTTATCATGCAATATGCAATGACTTATACCTGCAGAGACATGGTACTATTATGTCCAACTTAATTCCTGCATAAAATAAGGATATTCAGTGCAACAGAAAGACACAAATACAAGAAAAGTGGCAAAAGAAGCAGAAATAATACAATATTCTTTAGTGGATTTTTTCAAGACTCTCATTGTTGCTCAAGTGACAGAAATTTGAGGAACAATTTCCTAGGTCAACTTGCAGGAAAAAAACTTTCTACAGAGGAATGCTAGAAAGGATTCTAGTTTTAAATATATTAATTCACAAAAGCATTAATACTCAAAATATTACTTTGGTAGCAGATTTTTTATATTACATTTGACTAAGTACTTAACAACTTTGAATAAATAACCTCTTCCTAAAATGCAAAGCAAACCCTTTCAACTTCCAGACACATCATGCATGGATTACTAAAGATTAAAGAAAATGAATAGGCTGTAAATTATTTTTAATGCTAGTGAGAAAATTCAATAGCTACAGCTTAATTGAATGGAAATTACGATCTTCCAGATCAAAAGCATAATGAAAGAATCTCCTTTTAGTATATACTTTGGCTCTGTTACTGCACATAATAATATACAACACACTCACAGCTTTGGAAGTGTGTTCCTCGGGTGAGCATGCTGCGGGATTCACTTCCTTTGTCTGCTCCAGGAGCTCAGGCTTCTGTAGTGAACTGGCCACATAAGGGCTGACCTTCTTCAGGGTAACTTCAACTCCATTGAAAGCATGCTAATGAAAGAAAGAACATCTCACCACAGAAATACCATTCTTCAGGACAGTAATAACTTATTTACAACAGTTGCAACTCCTTAGAGGGTTTTAATCATTAAAGGAATAACTTAATAAATGCAAAATAAGTATATGGTCTCAGATTCAGAGCATGCTGCAGATTAGGTTTTTGCTTTTTTGCACTCATGAGTACACCAGCATCATGAGGTAAATCTAACAGGTATTTCCACCATCATTTACCATGGTTGAAATGTTTTATTAATATGCAATGACTTAAAAATTAAAGTATGTAAAGTATAAGATCAAAAACTACCCATTCCTTCCTCTGCTTTCCAATTTGTCATGAGGTTAGCAAGCTAAATTATTCTCTGAGGCTTTGATGGTAAATATTCAACTGATATTATGGGACTATGCAATTAGTTCAATTATGTTAATAATTTAATATTACAAAACATTAAGAAAATATTTACTTACTCATAAATGGGATCTCATTTGTTATGTCTGGATACAAAATTAAAAATTGTATTTCTACACATTTCTTTATGCTACTGGTCTCTAAGAAATCATCTATCTATAAACAGATTTTTTTTATTCTATTCATGAAAAGTACACATTGTTGCATTTCCTCTGAAGAAAAAAAAAGTATAAAGAGATCAGTAAATATTTGATGATATAGGAGTACCGCACTTAAAATCTTAAATGCAATTAACACTGCTTTTGCAGACCTGATTTATTTGTTATGACCTCATAAAACAAGTTATAATGTAGTTCTGAAAAGGTAAATTTTATTACAGTTCAAGAGCTAGTTTGATGATCTTTATGAATTTAGTGTCAAGAAAAACGTAAGTCTGTTTGTTTCGTGGGTCAGATTATCCCTTCTCTGGCTAATTTGTAGCATACTTTTGTATGCACATACATTACCATAAAACTTTATCAATTAAGAAGAGAGCTGCAAGATATCTTTGGACAGCAAACAGTACTAGAAATCCTTCCTAAATGGCTACTTTGGACACTTTTATAAGCAATCAGTGCTACTACCAACCAAGAAATACTGAGTTTTCCCACACATGTTGGGATTGCATGGCAAAATGGACTTGTCACTGGCCAAGGCCAAGCCCATCAGTGATGGTGGTAGTGCCTTTGGGATAAGAGACTTGAGAAGGAGGAGGTGCTCCAGCTGCCAGAGCAGAGATACTCCTGCAGCCCAAGATGCATCAGGATGTTGTAGCCATGGAGGTCCATGGTGCAGCATAGATCCACCTGCATCCTCTGCTGGACCCCACACCACAGCAGGTGGATGTGTGAAAGTGGCTGTGACCCCATGAGAAGCCCATGATGGAGCAGGGTCCTGGCAGGACCACTGGACCCATGAAGAGAGGAACCTGCAGTGGAGCAGGTTTGCTGGCAGGAGTTGTGACCCCATGGGTGACACACACTGGGACAGTGTGGCTGTTCCTGAGGGACTGCATCCCACAGAAGGGAAGTCTGCACTGGAGCAGCTCATGAAGAACTGCAGCTCATGGGAAAGACTCATATTGGAAAAGTCCATGGAGGACTGTCTCCCATGGGAGAGACTCTGCTCTGGAGCAGGGAAGGAGTGTGAGGAATCCAACCCCTGAGGAGGAAAGAGCAGCAGACATAACATGTGATGAACTGACCACAGTCCTCATTCCCCATGAGCAATTGAGGGGAGGACTCAGAGGAAATGGGGAATAAAGTTGAACCCAAGAAGAAGTGAGGGGTGGGGGTAGGTGTTCCAAATTTGGGTTTATTTCTCGTTACTCTACTCTGATTTGATTGGTAATAAATTTGATTAATTTCCTCAAGTTCAGCCTGCTTTGCCTCTGATGGTACCTGGTGAGAGATCTCTCCCTGTCCTTATCCAGACCCATGAGCCTTCCCTTACGTTTTCTGTCCCCTGTCCAGCTTAGGAGGAGAGCGACAGAGTGACTTTGGTGGGCACTTGGAATCCAGCCAGAGTCAGCCCACCACATCATATAATTTTTTCCTCTAGCAATTTTCAGAATTTTTGATTTTGATTCCAGTATATTCCCACTGATTCCTTATCAGTTACCTTGCATTCCTCTGATTCTGATTCTTCCATCTTTTGAAGTTTTTCCAACAAAGGCAATATACTGGCACTGTATATATTCCACCAGAGGGCAAGAAATGACAGTTGATGAAAAGATCCAGAGGTGGTGCCATCCTGCATAACTCTCTTTGTTTGAAGGTTGTATTTGTAGTTCCAGGGCTTTGTTGCTCCCAAGAAGTGAACAACTTTGGCATCTCTACCAAAACTGTAGAGATCAAACATACAGGTCTATACACAAAATATTTTTTTAGCTTTTATAAATTCCTAGAAGGAACATGCTTACTTGCATGAGGTAATGTAAAATTTTGCAACAGAAGCACATTTGAGATGATATACATTAATATTTTGTTTCTATCTTCTTGGTTTAGTTCACCTTATTTAACATACAGAAAACAAAAAGTTGCATTGCCATTTGCTTCCAGCTGCTGATTCTAATAGAAAAGTTCATGAAGAAAACTGACAGGCTCATGCAATACTATTTCCAGTCTTCTTTCATGCTCTATTCACAAACAAATACGTATCACTTCAAATATTTAATCACCAAAATTGGGTATTACTGATCCCATATTAAAAACTACTAATAAGTACACTGGTCTAAGTTCATCTTCCAATAAGAGAGTATTGTGCAACTGGAACAGAAATTCATGACACTCTAAATCCAACTTGCTTTTTACCAGAGAAGTTTCTCAACTGCATTGTCTAGAATCATATAATTAGTAGCACAAATTTCATTTCATAGAAGAACCTAAGGAATGGCTCAAAAAAATTAAGCAATGCCAACTGTTTCTCCAAGAAATTTCTTGAGAACAAAGGAACAAGTTTAAAAGTAAACCTGTCAGTACCTAATGCCAAAGTAATCACATCTTGTCAAAAATGAAAGTAGCTTCTTTGAAAGAACACAAAAGACAGTGTAGCCAACTCTGGGACTCTCCCTGTGTCCAGACATTCACATTAAATTCAAGCTTCTATTGCATGGTTTCTACATAAGATCATTTGTGATACTGTAAATTATAATCAACAGAGTATGCCATTATTACTCTCTTACAAAAGGATGTTGTTAACAAACTACAGAGATTTACACAAGTGTATTACTTACTGATTGAAAGCAGGAATATAGGTGTATACAGAGCTGCTGCTTAAGTTATAGAGGAAAGGCAAGTGTTTGCCAATATCTGCTGTTGCCCAGCTGCTGAAGAAGCTGTTCAACAAGCCTTGATCACCTCCTAAACAATACACAAAACAGCATTACCATAACATGTGTGCACTCAAATTTCTATCAAAATTTCACTCTATTTTCACTCAAAGGATGGGAGTGAGACTGGGGACTGAGATTGGTGTGTTCATGGGACTCTAACTTGGACTTGAAAATATGGCCATACAAGCATGTGCAAGTGAATAATACCTGATTCACTCCAATGCAAGTTCAGTGTAAATGAAGTCCTATTGCAATATAAGAAGAAAGGAGGAGTGTTTGATCTCCCTCAGAGCAGAAGACTGAAGATCAGCTGTATTTCTTTCTCCTAAGCCAGGTAGCCAAGCAAGACTCAGACACAATGTCCCTTCACTGCCCTTCTCTGGGAAGCACAGTCCAGAGTAAGTTGGCAGGTCTCAAATACAGTCTAAGAGGCAAAATTCTGCACCTTGAATTCTTACATAAAGCCCAGAGAACACCTGCCTTCCTCTATTCTGCCTGATAGCATGGAAACTGTCTTGCACTTCATCCCCTGTGCCTTGCCCCTTACCATCAAAGCTGCCGTGCTCAGCAGCAAACTGGAGCAGCCGGCTGTGAGTCCTCAAGGAGGGCCGGAACACAAAGACACCGCTATTGAAGCAGTCAGGCCAGCCAGAATCAGGAGCTGCAGAAAACTCCTCTCGATCAAACAACTCATCAACATTGCAAAGTACCTTAGGGAGAGCAGGAAAAGAGTAAAAAAAGTTAGAGTGTTTGTCTAGAATGAGCATTGTCAAATTAGTACCAATGTAGTAAATTGATAGTTTGGCTTTAGTATATGGCTTGCAGAGGATGAAAGCACTGCCATTGTAAAATATGCTAGGGGTCAGAACCTCTATTTTTAATATAATAAGGCAATATTAATTGTGATTCTCCATGATTTCTCTGATAAAATGCAAAGCCTGTGAAATTATTTCATGAACCTTGGAGACCATCCAAGGTCCTTTTAAATATTACACCATGAAAACACACACAGAATTTCCTTCTTTCTTAACTCTCCTTTCCATAGTCCATTATATTTGATAACTACAACAGAACTGAATGAAAACTGGGAATCTAAATCATTGTAGTAAGCAACAGACTGACTAAAGAAAAATTCTCTTGCTGCCAGTTTTCTAATGCAATTTAAGTTCAGAGATTTACATTTCTGTTTTCATCTAAGCTTCACAAGGAAGTGGGAAAATCAATCAGGTTAAGGCACAGATAAAGTTTGTGCAGTCACTGAAAATCAGGACACCACCCACAACCAAGCCACTGTGAAAACCAGAAGAAAAAATTTTTTATAAGTAAAATTTCTTGATTGAATTTTTTAAAAAGACAAAAATTTGCCTTCCTGCTTTAACATTAATGTAAAGCAAGAGATCATAAGCCTTCCTCCTCAAGAAGAATAACTTAATTTGATTTCTAATTCAAATACAATCCTATTAAATTAAAATGCATCCCAGTCTTTCAGAGTGTGCTATGAAAGCACAAAGGAAGGCTGACATGATTTTCCTTGCCAAAATTCTGGTCATTTTTATCTCTATATCTAAAAACTTAAAAAAAATAAATAAATGTCCGGGATTTTTCTTTTTTTTTCTATTCTAAAACCATCCTGCCTTCCTGACCAGAATAATTCCAAAAAAAAGTATGGGAGAGAGATCTATTTTAAACTTCTGTCAGAAGACCCAATGCAGAGTGAGTCTGTGATCTCTTTTGGGGACAGTCCTGAGGCTACTTTCCAAACTAAATTTATTTTTATGCAGCCAGCACAACTGTGAGAATTGCTAAAACGTGCCAGGATGGAGCTCCTGTGACCTTGTGGTTGCCAGCAAATCTGGTCACTTCACAGCCCAGTGGGCTGCCTGACAAGGAGGCATCCCACAATCAGAGACGGACACAAATGTTTCCATGGCTCCCACTCCGCTCACCAAAGTGTCTGCATCCATGAAGACACATTTGCTGTAATGAGTAAGAGTCCAACAATGAAGCTTAGTGAAGGTTACACCCAGTTCTGGCCTCTGCATCAGAGCCAAATGGACTGAGTCAGCACTGTCCAGCACATCCACCTCGATCACTTCATCAAATACACTGCTGAGGACTGACCTACCAGCGCGAGCAGTGGAGAGAAAGAAGGCAATTTAGACAAGTTCATCAGAGTTCACTTCAGGCGTGAAAACAGTGACACACACAGCATGACATTAATTATGACAATAACCAAAGCTAGACTGATTGGTCAGAGTAAGGTGTCAGAAGCGAAAAGTCTTTGCAAACAGCCTACTGAAGGGGCAGCTCTCAGGCCATAAAACATTGTCCCTTCCACTATGGGGCCAGCACATCTCAAAACTGGGAGCTGCTGTTTGAAGACAAAAGCAATCCTTATTTTAGTCACTTCTCTCCTATAGAAACACCAACAGAAATTAAAGCAGCTTTCATCCTGTACAATTGATTCCAAAGCACAGCACCATACTGTGTTCCCTCTGCATTTTACAGGATGAGACATGCATTGCCAGCACACTCATTTGTACCTGTTGTGCCCAAGTAAACACTGCTTCAAAACCGCACCCTTTATAAGGTGCACATATACTTGCTCCACCATATATAGTTCTCACTGCTATGTAGCATCTCAAATCAGACTTTTAGCTAAATATTTTTTTTTCCTATGCATGTATCTTATGGGAACTCCATAGGTAACATCAAAGTAGGTAATTTTCCTTCAAGAGGCAAGGAAAAAGGTCTTTAAAATACAACTTATTTACTTACACTACATTATTATAATCAAAGTCCTCAATATCTCACAAACACAGAAAAAGATGACCTGTGCTGTTTGAAATCTAGATTTCAGGGTCATTAGCTTTTGCCTGTTGATCTTCAAGGAACAGGAATTAACTGGCAAAGAACTAAGTGAAATACAGATCATTAGAAGTTTATTTCAGCGATCTACTTCCTTTTATTTTTTTTTTACATGCTATCCTTGATTTTAAATACATATTATAAAAGCTTCTCTTCCCACTGAATAGGCATGAAAAGAATTCTAGACTTAGTATCGACCCATGCATCAAACGGATACAGTATTCCCTCAGGAAGGTTATGGTGTACAGACAATGTTCGTACTTCAAAATTCTGTAAAAACATATTTTCGTGCATCAAAGTCATCTGGCAACCATGCGAAAATATATTTCTTGATAAATATTGCAAATACATTCACATAGCTTACAGAAAACAGGAGCTTGCACACTTCCTAAGACATAGCAGAACTAAGAGTTTAAGTTGCTATGGCATGGCATGTGCCTTTTAAAAAGTGTCACAGTCCTCCAAATAACAGGGCTTGAGTTCAGACTTAATAAGATTTCTCTAAATGCTATTCTGCATTCTGTAGAATCACAACACAAATTGCAAAGTGATTTATACAAAAAACCAAAAATAAGCTAATTTCTTATCATGATAGCTGTGCATCAATATTTTAAGAACATTGTTAATGTGAAACTGTGCCCTTAGGTTTATGGAGAGTTCTGATGTCACATGTGGTTATGTATCTCACTCTAAAAGAAAAAAACTGGGAGAAAAACAACAGTGATGCTAAAACCTTAGTTCCAACTTTTCAGCTCAAGTTCTTAATTATAAGACAAATTCCAGCCACAAGATCTACTTCTGCAAGGGAATTCTTAGTAGGCTTAAGAGCTTATAATGGATGCTATTTGAGACTCCTCTTAGAAATCACTAGCCAGGAAGGAAATTCTAAGCATAATGCTGGGAAATCCACAGAAACCTATTAAAATCTTTCATGTTCTTGCTTATACTTCCACTAGTTAAATCTCCAAATACCCATTAATACTTACCTCATCCCACTGGAAACCTCTGGAGTAATTAGAACTGCCAATTTTCTGGATGTTTTATGATTCCTCAATGACTGCCCAAGAACGAGAGCACCTTGACAGTACACATCATCAGTAGCAAGGGTCACAAAGGCTTGATCTGTTACTGAAAAAAAAATATTCAGAAGAGTCACTTCACAGCTTTAATGTAATCCCATTTAGCAGGCTCCCTCATCTTCCAGAAAAACAACAATCTGTGACTTATAACAACTTGCAGTTCCTGTGCAGTTTCCCTCACAAACTCCCCCCAAAAGTCACAACTGAATAAAAAATCCAGTGAATGCGAGAGCAGAATGTATGTTTCTGATTTTTTATTATTTTTGTTTGCCTGATTTACACAATAGCATGTATAAAGTTTTTGCACCAGCCTTAAACAGACAATTCCCTAGGTCTTATTGCCTAAACACAGTGTCAATCAAAAAAGCTGATCTGTACATATTTAGATTTTATATTTAATGAACATAGTATAATACAATGGATAAGGAAAATGTTTTTGCTTATATACTGCTGAAAGCTAAGGAAAAGAACAGGTTGTTGAGTATTAGCCAGAAATGTTCTTTCCATAACACCACTAAATCAACCCAACATTATTTTTGCTCTGCTCTCTTTGTACTAGGGTACCTGGTGCTGGCTGAACAGGTGCAGAGAAATTCCTACCAAGGCCAGTACAGCTCACAGAACCTGAGAATCCCTATCTCAAGTAACTCCATAGAATTTAGGAGAGTTCCTTATTGTCAGGAAACACATGAGAAAACTATTTTCAATAAAAAATAAAGCAACCTACACTCCTGCAAAACAGGAGAAAATGTATTTTGTAGAGACACCAGGCCAGTGGCATGATCACAAGGGGCTGCTTCTTCAGCTCTGCCCCATGACAGAACCACCACTATCAGAGCTTTCCTGGGGAGAACTCCTAACTCAGCAAGGTGAGCAGCCTCCTCGAAGCAGAAGGATGATACCCTCTAGGCTGCAAAATTAACCAGAACAAGATGAGCAGGTCAAACGGATGAAGGGAATTCCACTGAGCTCTACAGAACTTCAATAAACACTTGTTGAAATATTTGCTTAGAACCACCATCATCTTAAAGGACAGGCAATTGCATTAAATAATTAAAACAACCAAACAATAGCAACATAAACAACCTGTCATACAGTTTCCAGGGTCTGTGAGAAACACTAGGAAAGAATCTCACAGAACTAGTTGCAGAGAACTCAACAAATAACCTCGTGGTTGTCTCAGCCAGAGGCTGCCAAAATTAATAAGTTCTAACCCCTAACTGTCATCAAGTTAAGCAGTAAAGTATGGCTGGTGTCCATGATAAGCCAACAGATATTAAGCATTTTTATTTTTCATATCCTCCAAATCCAGAGCAAAACACAGGCCTGCTGGTGTGCTGCCTTTCCCCCCAACATTTTGCCCTCTTTCACTCATTTCCAGACAGCCAGCTTCATCTCAAGCACACCTACCTTACATTTGCTGACATTGTCACACATCCCTGCACCTCAGGAGAATCCCAGTAAGTGTCAAACTTGGCCAAAAGAACCCGAATCATCCATCCAAACTTAGAATAGTTTGCATAGCTCACAGCTGAGCAAACTCCAGTAACATTTCTAATCACAATTTCCAGACAAAGCAAATGAAGAATTGAACTATCAAATCTCACATTATAATAACAGCTCAAGCAAGTTGTGAGTGTTCCAGAAATCAATGAATAAGTAGCTGCATTAAAATGACAGATGTGAGCTTCTCCTACTGCAGTTTTCCAGAAGGTTAAAGGAATAAATATAAGCATCTCTAAAAATCAATGTAAATCAGAAAACCACTGCAACCTACTTCAGCAATAAAATTACTCTGAAAAGATGCAAAAAGTCAGGAAAGCAAAGTAGTTTTGTGTTAGGCAACAAGCATCTTCAGCCAAAGAAGGTAATAAAACAACTACTGAGAGGAATGTGGGAGTTAGGTTAATACAAAAACCAAATTGTGAAATGAGTGGGCGTTCCAAATATAAATGTGGGAGTTAGGTTAATATAAAAGCCAAATTGTGAAATGAGTGGGAGTTCCAAATATAAAATACTGTTTTAAATAACAACCACAAAACTGAACACCATCTTCACATGGCTTTTGCAAATTCTCTTGGCCACAGAAGCTGAATCTTTACTTAAATAATAGATAGAAAAATACACAAACTACTCATTAAATGGTTCAGCAATCTGGTATGGAAAATTACCACATCCTCCAAATGCTTTTGTGCCCTGTACCCCTGTGGTCATAATCACAAGGAAGCAAACTGCCAGACAACTGCTGCTTCTAAGAAACTCTTGCTGATACCTCACGAAGAACAGAAACTAAATGTCTGTTTTGAGAATCGGGTGTGGGATACATGTTATGGCCTTCTTAATACAGTGAATCATCATAGAGATAATTACACAGATAATCAAACTATTGACTGAAAATATTTAACATTAAAATATTTCTGGTGCAAAGAGAGAAGCAAGTCCTAGTGATTTAAAATCATACAGGGGCATGACTAATTCATTAAGGATCCATAGGGGGTTTAAAATAAAAGTATTTTATCATTACTTTGTCTTTCATCTAATCCTTACTTTCAAGAAAGAAGTGCTATTTGACTTGCCTTGTTTATAAAATTCTTTGGAATATAGCTCTAAGTAAACATTTTATTTTTATAACTGAAAATAAGGATCAGGTTCTCATATATATTGTTGGAAATAAATGGTTTACCTGAAAGTTTCTATTTAGCTGAAATCAAGGACAACACATTAAATCTACTGTACACAGAGCTTCGCTCACTGACTTTAAAAGAGCAAAAAAATCTTCTTTAAGTTTCAAAGCCAGAGGTGTAGATATTTAAATCCATTGCAATTGTTTTTTGGCTTTTTTTTTTTAAGTGTCAAGGAGACCATTAAGCATAACTTTAATTCTTTGTGCTGAATGACAATAAGATTTTTTATGGACAACACCTACTCTTAAGGGTATTAAATTTTCAAGCAAATTGTTTTCAAGTTGTGGATCCTTATGGCTAATACAATACCACTGTCTATCAGTGAACTATGAGAAAAAGAAGTTTATACTTGGAATCCCATTAAAACTCTGTCATTTGAATTTATAAATCTGCTCATTTCTCTAGTCTGGATTACCACAAAGCACATGATGATGCAAATTAAGAAATAATTATCATCAGTAGTGGCTCCTCAGTTTTATTACCTAACAATATTTTCTTAGAACAAAGCAAGGATCTTCAAGGAATTAACTTGTTGAGTTATTCTAGAACCTGCTCTGCAGCTACACAGAAAAGACAGCAAAAGTAATGTGAATCACTACAGTCAGGGTGATCTTATGTGGAACTTGTTACAGCTTTTTTAGCCAAGATCACAAACTTTTTATACTATTTACTCATAGAAGTAGTACTTCTGACACTGCCAGAGGCAAAATTCTTTGACGGGCATGAAAACTAATTCTAGGGCACCTAAAAGCTTTATTTAGAATACAAACAGAGCGGACAGACAGGGTGGTGCTCACTTTCATGTTCAAAGAGAGAGAAAGAGGATTAAAAAACACCAGGTATCCATTTTGAAAATCAGAAGTGACTGATAATAAGAAGTTCTGAGTGACCCACATGCACCTTCTGACTTCAGGACAAGTTTAAGTAGGGTAGGGAGGGTTTTTCCATTATCCATTAGACATAGCTTTTAAATCATATTTTTATATTTCTTCTGATAGACAGAGAAAGGATAAATGTAGTCCAGCTGCAGGTCCTACAGAACAATTCAAATTTGCCAGGCTACCTGCTGCAATATGGCAACAGGAGACCAGACACTGCTATATTATGATTTTTCTGTAAAAACATTCTAAGTCATCTTATGCATAAAAATAACAACAGATAAATTAACAGCTAAAAGCCTCCAACAGGCTGGTTAGGTCCCCAGTGCCTAATGCCATTCATACTAACCAACGCTGTACAACTGCTTTCTTAAATTCCTCCCTGATACCATCTGTTGCTCTTTTGTCACCTCCCCCTCCTGCTCCAGGGACAATCTGCAGCACCAGCAGGCTGCAGCCTTGACCTGTACCCACTGAGCCAAAGCAGCTCTCTGAAATCCCGAGTGACAGGGACACAGCTCCAATCGCAGCACGTTTCCTGACAACAAGTGTGTTACTCCCTCTCCCACACGAAGGACTCTGTGGCTCTTCCCCCAGAAGCACTCCGTGAAGGCGTGTTAGACTACCAAAAAGAGAACACAAGCTGCAGGCTTCTCACTTCTCTGGCCTAGCACAACCAGAATCTGGAACAGAAAGCTCTGCTCCTCCTGGCACCCACAAGCTTATAAGCAGCCAAGAAGTATTTTGTTATAAGCAGATAAAATGAACAATAGTGTCAGACAATAACCTGAGTCAGATCCCTGTCAAAAACTGTTATGCTAGTTTCCAGCAGAGACAGTTCTTGCCCTATAAACAAATGGCAGCTGGCAGTTTTAATTCCCCTGCTTTCTTAGGTCCAGTAGTAGAAACATTGATGTTGCTAATGAAGATAAACAACAAACACTTTGTACAGACCGTTTTATAACAGAATGCAAATTGACATTCAATGGTATACAATATTTCTCTTGGTCTAATGAAGGTCTGCCTCATCCAAAACCAGATTCTCTCTTATATTTTATTAAAGCAGTTTAGCAGGCAGTATTACTGCTGTTCTGTTGGAAGAGCACTTGATTCCAGTTCTTTGTAGCTTTTATGTGTCTTTCAGCTGAAAACTGTTACATTCTGCTTCCACTCTGCAATGTTGTTATTCAACAGATGGTAAATAATCGTCATGAAAACTCAAACTCAACAATATCATAAGATGCAAACAAGCATAACACCCAAAACTAGTCCCAAAACAGTAATACACAAGTTTGAAAATTAGTAATAATTGGTAATAATTATTATAAATAAGTGCTTAAGCAATCCAGAGGCAAAACAGGGGACTTTATGGTACGTATCAAGTTAGATGTTTCGAGTCTTTCCACACTTTCCTTTCAACCAAAAGGAGAAAAAAAAAAAAATAAAAATCAAAAATCTGAAACAAACAACCAAAAAATCCTTAACCAAACAAAACCACAATGCTCTAATCTTTTCATTCTTTCATTTGCAGATTCACTTTCTGCGTCTTCACAGTGCTGAAGTGCCACATACGTGAATTCAAACTTGGCATCCAACTGTCCAGATGACTGACACCCTTCAAATGATTCAATAAACCAAGATTTGTGGGAGCTGCTGCTCTCAAAACCGAGAAAAAAAGAAAAAAGTTGAGTATGTTCCAGAACTAGACCAAGCACCTGCACCTACCCCGCGTAATTAACCTAAAACCAATACCTCATGGCTTTAAGGATAACTGATTAAGACCAATACCACTGCTGTGTAAGAAGTGGCATAAGAAAGGTTTCTCTGAACCTGCCTTAGATTGAGGCAGCCAGCCCCCTGGGGATCCACCAGGAGAGCACGCAGAGTCGTAAGCAGGCCAAGCTGTGCAGGACACATAAATGTTCGCCTATTTTTCCCTATCACCCAGACAGTTAAAATCCTCCTCTGGAGCCGCTCATTACAGCACAGCACTGTGCTGGTAAGAAAACAGCAGACACCCTCTCCCGCACCGGGATATGAGAAGGACAGAGTCCCCGGGGGGCTCCGGGCTGCGCTGCCGATCGTCCCCGGCCGGGCCGGGCCGGGAGGCTGCTGAAGGCAAGTCGGGCAGGGTGCTGTGCCATGGAGGTACTCACCGGACATGCTGGGCAGGCGGGGGCCGGCCGGGCAGGGCTCGCTCCGCGGCGCCCACCGCTCCCGCCGCCTCACCTGCGGGCGGGGGGGCCGCTAAGCCGGCGATGGGATTAGCCTCCTTCCTGCTGCAGGTGAATTACCCTCGCAGGGACTCCTGCGCAGCAGCAGAGAAAAGCCATTAGCGGCGGAGACCATGGCGGGGGGGTTGGCACGACCCACCCCGCCCCCGCTCCGGGCGCTGGCTTTCCTGCCAGGGGGGCACGGTCCTGCCGCCTGCTCCCGGCCCTGTAGCGGCCACGGCTCGGAGCTCGGCCCGGTACAGCACTCCGACACCGGCATGGCCCGGAGCTCGGCCCGGTACCACAGCCCAGAGTTCGGCCCGGCACCGCTCCCGACACCGGCACGGCCCGGAGCTCGGCCCGATACCACAGCCCAGAGTTCGGCCCGGCACCGCTCCCGACACGGGCACAGCCCGGAGCTCGCCCGGTACCGGTCCCGACACGGGCACAGCCCAGAGCTCGGTCGGGCACCGCTCCCCACACGGGCTCCGCACCTGCTCCGGCTTCTCCAACGGGCGCGGTGCGGCTGCGCCCACCGTGGGATGGGAGAGCCCCCCACTCCCCTTCCTCCTGTTCCCTCCCGTCCCATTCCGCCCCTGCCCGGTGGGTCTCAGCCGCTGTGACAAAGCGTCCCCACCGCGCACACGTCTGTGCAGATACCCAGAGGAAGGGACACAGGCTGGGGAGACTCCGCCGCGCAGCGCCCAGAGGAAAACACAACCTCTGTGGTGGTGAAGGTGGCGGAGTGTGGCAAAAGGTTTCAGAGCATGAGTAGGGTGATTCCAGCGTGGCATGTGGTCATTCAGACACACGGGATTCACCGTGAATTAAGGGAGTCTACTCCTAACTCCCTGGGGCCGTCGTGTCCCCTACACATACTCACGGTATGATAACTTGGCACCCAGATAAGCAAGTAGATGTTTTCAGTGTCAGGAAACTCATGCTATTCAGAGGGCTGTAAATATTCTCACAAGTGCATAAATAAATGCACATTTACTCACACGGCATGCTTTCACCACTAGCTTAGAAGTCATGTAATTGTGACATAATTCAACCATACAATGTTTCTGCAAGGAAATTTTAGGCTGAGGTGGTTCAGCCGAGGCATTTTTTGTGCTCTGAACATCAGTATCTATGTAGCAGGGGTCAACAATTTTCAGGTAGTGAGCCGCTGAAAAATAATGCCCAGTGGCATTACCTAACGATTTAAAACTTTATTTCCAACGATTTGCAAGAGATCTCTGTTGCCACTCCAAGCTGCAGCATTTGTTCTCTCATACCCTGAAAGAATCCTAAAGGTCCACTGGAGAAGAGGGTGTCATTGCTCTGTAGTAATGGCGAGGTGTTTAAAGGAAGTAAAGACAGACAAACACATAGGAAATGAAGTTTTATTTAT